AGCATTTATCATTACAATTTACTTTTAACCAATATCATTACCAGACAGGTAGTCAAGCCAGTGCTCACTTACATTTTCTTTGGCTTGTTGATGTCCCTCTCCCATAGTCCTTAAACTTGCCAAATACAGTTTTTCCAAGTTCTTTATTTTCTGGGTTTGTGATTCTTCCCATTCTGTCCTTAGCTCCTCTGCCAAACGAGTGAATTCCTGATTTCTCCTCTGTTTTATATCTTCTCTTATCTGTAAAGCGATACCCCTTTCTTGTGCTCGAACCTTAAGAATTAATATTTAACACATCATATGAAAAGAGGCTTCAACTTTTTTGAAAATCTGTTTGGGAACAGGAACTTAAATGAATTTTCTTTAGGTATTATCAGTTGTCCTGAATATTCATATTATATTAGATATGGCCTATATACAGCAAAGTCCAAGTGATGTAAAAAAATTAAAATCTCAAGACTACTAAAGTTCCCTGATTGGCCATTATCTTCCCTCGACCCAAAGCACTAATGGGACTGTCATTATCATTCTAATAACCTTTAAGAGGCTAAAAGGTATATACAATGCAACAAGTATATATAGGACCAATGAGTACAGATAGAGCTAGACAAGAACTCCATGTCTGTGTACATCATGGCCAATTCTAGACAAAATGGCACCTAAAAATGCTTCACAAAGACTTAAACTACATTACCAGCTAATAATCTCTAGTAAGTCTTTGTCAAAGCCATTCTAATCTTCCTATTCCAACCTTCATTGGTTATACATATTTTTTAAATGTTTAAAGAAATATTTTCCAGTATTACTGAGTCAAATAATCCCAATGCTCAAACTCTTCTTCAGTCTATTTATCATTTTAGCCTATTCTTTTAGATGTTCCAAACTAGTAAATAAGAAAGAACTAGGCTCTTAAACAGCCAGAAAAGGCTTTTAAATGCAATATTTAAAACATTCTAATGTAAAAAATACTGGTAATGTAAAAAAGACAAAAAATTTGGAACTTTGTTCCAAATAAATCTTACCTGTAGCAATCTTAGTTTTCGTCTTCTTTCATAATCTTCCTTTAAAACGAAGGCTTCCTCATTAGGACTCAATCTCAGCTTGCCAGCATTCACTACCTTTCTTTTCATTCCTGTGTACTTTAAAGGTTCTGAATTTTAAAAAAGTAAACTATTAAAATAGGGCAGCAAAGATTAGAATGATTTTTAAAACACATTAACACTTCTGACATTTAAAGAGCTGTGTACATGCAAATAAACTGTCCAATTTATTTACAAATTGCAATTATTAATTAGGTGTTGCTTGAATCAGTGGTTCTCAGATGGGTGGGAAGGGATTAAGTGGAGGGTGAATCAGAATTACTTGAAAAAGTAATTCTGCCCAACTATGGCAGATTATTGTTTACCTAGAGTATCTGGGATCTGACTTATTTCTGATTGGCTTCCGAAGTTTACCTAGCTTAAATGTAAAAAACAACAAAGATTTTAAATGCTGTGTCAGCATAGAAGTAACGTCTTCACAATCACAATGTAAAACTTTAGAATTCTGGTAACTTGTTCATAACCCACAACACTGTTGTCATTGCAAGGGCTCCTGGTCCTTAGATTCAACTCCCACTCTCCTGCATGTAACTTGATCAGCCAAGTGTCATTGTATTGTATGGAATCACATCAACCCCTCAACAATTCTTCAATAATTACAAAGGTGAGATTTTTAAATGAATGATCCTTAAACATTTTCTTAGAGCAATTGTTTTGGATGATTCAAGTGTACGGAATAGCAGATCCATTCTAGAACTGTTCACACTCAGGTGTTCTCATTTGCTTCCCTAGATACTAACATGGATACATATTACAACTTTCTGAAGGTTAGCCTAAGCCACCCCTCTTTATGAAGCTGTCCTCTGCAATTCTTGTTCCGCCCACCCACCCCCTCATTACTGACTTGCCCTATAACCCATACTACCTTTACATCTACATAGGGGCTAATGTTTTGTTATTACCTTCCTCTAGTTTTTCACCCACTGCAATTTGCCCTTTCTAGTTAGATTCCTAACAATTGAAGGGCAGAGGCTATTTATCATTTTAATATTCAAATTAATTTAATAAATAACATCTACAAGGAAGTATTTCACATACCATGGATGGATATTGTTTTTACTCAGGTGTAAACAGAATAGAGGCTAGAATTCGGGGTTATCTAATAGGGACTAAGACTTTTCCAGTGAATTGTCCACCAACACATAAACTCATTGAGGCAGGAATGGTCTTACAGTTTTACATCCAAGGCCAAAACACAGTGTCTTGCACATAAACAGCATTTAGTTCTCTGCCTGCTAAAGTTGAGTCTGGAAAACTCCAGGAACCCTTTTCAACCATGAGCAAATCTCACCCACTCAGTGGAGAAGGCAGGGAATGTTGAAGAGAAGCCTCTTAAGGCTGTCTGTCACGCAGTCTCGGGAAGGTTCAGCCAAGATCTCTGGGGAGTCCTTAAACCAAAGTCCGTTGTTTCTTAGGGACAGGACTGCCTTCCTAGGAGCCCAAGGGAAGCATCCAAACAGATACAGAATACAGGAGATTAAAGTCTGTGAGTTACATTCGCATGGCTGCTGAGGTTACACAACTTCTTACTCTGAAACAGCCCCTCAGTCTGTTTTTCTTTTCAAGCTCTTGACATTTTTGAAAAAATACTGGCCCATGTTTTATACAATGTCCCTCAGCTTGGATGTATTTAATCTTCTTGTGGTTAGACTGAGGTCATGCATTTTGGACAAGAACACCAGAAGTGACAAATTACCCCTGACAGAGCACCACATCAGGAGGTAAAATAAATGATGTTAACATGTCTTACTACTGGTGATGTGAACTTTGATCACCTGGTTAAGGTGGTGTCTACCAGGTTTCTCCACTGAAGTTACTTTTCTAAGTTATCTGGTGGAGAAATTGTTGAGGCTATATAGATATCGTGTTTCTCATACTTTTGCCCACTAAATTAACATTTATTGACGGCTGTTGTCTGAAACAGTTACTGTGGCATTTATCAAAAGGTGTTTTCTATTTCAATTTCTCCTTCAACACTTACCATTGGAACCCCACTGTAAGGGCACTTCCCCTTTTCTCTCACTTATTTTTTCATATAATAGGGATTTAAAAATTCTGTGTATTACTATCCAGTAACAGAGGATACTACTTACTTGCAAGACTTTGTCTTGAGGACTAAATGGCACCTAGCACACTGTAATTACAAAATTGATACTAGACTTATAAGATCTGGGTTCAAGACCCAACACGGCCACTCACAGAGGACGACCCTGGCTATGTCACTTAAGACTTTGATTTCTTTTACTTAAAAGTATATAATGGGAGTATTAATATCTACCCCAAGAATTTTTTCTAATATTATGTTAAGTAGTTAATGAATGTGAAACTGACAAATAATCTCTTAGTATTACAGACGTAAACATTCCCCATTGTTTTAAAAGCTCAGGTTTGTGGCAGGACTTAATTCCTGAGGCATTAAAGGTAAGAGATACTAAAGAGGAGCCCGTTCTCTGCCTGAAACGATTCCGGGCCGTGCTCCCGGGTTTCAGGCCAGGTCCGCGGGTGACCGGGGGAGGGCGGGCGGCGGCCGCCGCGGTGGCCCTCCGGGGTGGGGGGACCGCCTGGAGGCTCAGGGCCCACGCGACCCGGGCCCGCGCACAGGCCCACTGCACCGGCCGGGCACAGCCTCTGGCGCCCCGCAGGCGGGGCTGCGTCGGACGCGCGTCTTGCCCGGGCACCCCCCGCGGCCGCCCGCCGAGACCCTCCCAGCCTGCCCCCACTTCCGGGCACACCCCGGCCTCCTAGGCTTCAGGGAGTCGTGCGCGCCCGGGGCCGCGGAAGGGCCGGCGCGCCCGCCACTCACCCGAGACCCAGGGGCCCGGGGTCAGGAACCGCCGCTCAGACACAGAGGGCCCTGGAGGCCGCCGCCGCCGGGCAGCTTCCCAGGAGCCGTTTGTGCGCCTGCGGGGCAGCCATGGCCGAGGCCCGTCACTTCCGTCATTCAAACCGCCCGCCAATGGCGGGGCCAAACCGCGGGAATCAGCCTGGTCCCGCCCCGCCCGGGGGCCGCCGGGAC